ATAATTTATAATATGTACTACAATACTTATACTGAAGTCCCTGTAATAATTTATAATATAGTCAACAATACTTATCACTGAAGACCCTGATTACATTTCTAAAATGTCAACAATACTTATACTGAAGTTCCTGAATAATTTATAATGTGGCACCAATACCTACACTGAAGTCACTGAATAATTTATAATATGGAAACATACTTATACTGAAGTCCCTGCATAATTTATAAAATGTCAACAATACATAAAAACCTATTTTGGCTCCTTGCTGTCACCTAAAATTACATTTGGTGAAGTAAAAATAAGAACTTGTAGTTTGAGTAAATATTGTCTACAGTGTCTCCAGCCTTGTTTCCTTACTTTTTTTATTTCTATAATCCTTGTTTGCTGGTTTTTAAACTTCTAATTTTTTTATTTATCTTGTTTGCTGGCTTTTTTACACTCAACTGTGGGCAGAGGATTACTTGATATCGTAGCTAACTTTATACACTGTAAGGATAATATACAGAGTTAGTAGCTAGCTGACAGTTCATGATGATTTAATGTAGCTATTGACTATTTGATAACATTAGTTTGAGATGTAAAATGTTAAGCTGCAGCTGGAGATTTGTTTGAGAATAAAGTGAGAATTTATAGTTTCTGTGTAACTAAATTCTTTACATATAATCCATAATAATGGACAAATATATGCCTAGACTAAGACACAGCCCCCCACTAAGTATGTATAAAATTTTACCAGTAGAAAAACAGCCTTTTTTCAAATCAAACATATATGTCTAAAACATTGCTTTAAATAAACCTTTGTGTCTTTTAAAGTAATTACTGTATAAATTTGTGTAATAAAATTAAATACTGTGTATTAATTTCTTTTTAGTCCTTCACTTCATACATAATATACATGTTGGCTCCCCTAAAGACACCAACTGAATAGTGTATAAAGGATTGAGTATCTGTATGTTACAGTCATCTAACATTCATATATACAGTCATCTAACATTCATCTATTATTGGCTGGTAATTCCTGTTTCACCCTGCATTTAAGCTTTTTCAGGAAACACCAGATATATTTATAAGAAAGCTAACTCCAAAAAGTAATAATAACATTGTTTACACTAGAATAATGATGTTTTTTAGCTTATGTAAAATGTAAAATATAGAAGAAACAAATTTATTTTTCAATACCCCTATAAACTTCGCAGTACCTTATTTAGTATTCTATGAAAGGATTAAGTGCAATATACCAAACTTTTTTATTATAGGTTGGCAAGAGAATAATAGTAACTTTCAAAAGAATTACAAACAGACTGTTTTGAGCAGATTTTCTAACACGCATGCTTATTTTGTGCATTTGTATATGTGTACAGCCTTACCAGTCAATAGTAAAGATTTTAAAGTGTTGTTTGAACTGAATTTTTACTGTTTAAGGTGCTTTTTGACCAAATGCTCTATTAGAAGTTTGTGAAATTCCTTGCAGTCCCTATCATGGACCATTATTATGGTTCGTCATACTGTTATGCAAATTATAAATTACAATGTAACTCTATGTGAACCAAGCAGTTTTACACCTTATTCAACATTAAAGATTACAGTTATGCAATTACAAGTTAGAAACATAAAATAAAAACACAATAAATTTACACTTTATTGTGGCAAACAGATTTGGTAACTTTGCCATAACTCAAAAAGAAAGAAAGAAATACAATGCCCACATAGCTGAAAGTGTTAATATATCTAGTGGCAACTAGGACTAAACCCAGAACCCTTGAATCCAGAGGCAACTAATCACCAGGGCAAAAAAAAAAAGGACAATTTGAGAAATCATAATGGCAATATTTCAATTACTTGGATAGTTGGAATAATCAAAAACAATAACCACCAGAAACTCTGATTTTAATTAGTGTGTTATTTTTATGACAATAATCAATGTAATCAAAATTCTGATTAACCAATTATTTTGTATATAACACTATTCAATGTAAGTGAGGTTCACAGACAATTGATTATATCAATTAATCACACAGCTCTAATAACATGTATTTAAATATATATAAAACTCTCTTTACAGATGGGACTTATCTACTTATTTATGTTCATGTAGTAAAACAATTTTCATTACTATGGATTAGAGTACAATGGGCTATATGAAATGCACATATAACAACTCTAATTAAAACTTTCCTTTCTAATGCAAAAATTTTCTCATTAGCAAATATTAAGTTGATGAAGTGACAATCTGATCTGACATTTCTCTACAAAATATACAAGCTATCAATCATTTGTATACAATTTCATTTTATCACTTGATGCAAAACATTAATTCTAACAATGAACAAATGGTTATGACTAGTTTATCTTTACCTTTCCATCTAACTTCAAGTTCTTCATGGTTAACTTCTCCCAGTATGGCCTGCCATACAAACTTTTAACTCGCTGGACTAAATGTAATTTAGCTGGATTGAATGAACCTTCTCTCATCCTTCGAATCTCCTTTACTTGCTGAAATATTTTATCTCGTTCTTCCTCTGCATCTTGTACATAACCAATAAACCTAAAGTCTGACCACTCTGGCTTAATAACCTGATGTAAGAAGAAAAGCAATTACTAGTAAAATTTTAAATGAATTAAATACTTAATTAAAAAACAGCAGACAGAGAATGAAGCAGTTTTATCCACAATATTTCAACATCAATGGAAAACGAACATGTATAATAATATTTCAACTTTAATTTGTTTAATGTACTCTAGCACGACCAAAGTGATTAAAGTATTATTAACTTTTCTTATTGTGAGGTATACTGGACCAGTAGAGAATAGTGTTGTAAAATTATCAAAGGTTTTACTGTGATTTAATATCACAGAGCTAGGTGGTTAGCATTATTTGCTAAATTGATAACCCTATTAATTGATTACATTTGATTAATCAATTAGCACAATGTTTCTGAAACCATGGTACCTACAAGTAAAAAAAAAAATTATGAGGCAGGTGCTAGCAGTCATTTATCTGCTCTCTAGTCAGCAGTTCAAAATTAGTGGCAGATAGTAGTATTTCCATAACAGACAGGTCAGGCAAGTTTGGTTAGAATATTTAGATTACTTGGATAGTTGGAATAATCAATAATAGAAATAATCAGAATCCCAAATTTCAATTAGTTACTTTCATGACAATCAATTTAATTGTAATTTCAATTAATCAACTGTTGGAATAATCAGAAGCACTAATTTTGATTAGTTGACTATTTTCATGCTGATCAATATAATTAGAATTTTGATTAATAAATTGTTCAAATAATAAAAACTGTAACAATTGGAAACAATAATTTTGATTAATCAATTACATAATACTTTTGACTAACTGATGTAATTATTGCTCATAGGTAACTGATTATACTGACGTTACATAATGAAGTTGTAATCCAGCTTTTTTACTGAGTGAAAAATCTTGTTGGCAGCAATGTACAGCAAACAAAGTGTAGTTGAAACGCTATTAAATAGATTTCTTACTGACAACCCGTACTGGGAACAAATGATGTTAGGTTTATCATCAGTATTATTACGATATAATAAAACATCTACCAAAGAAAATGGAACATGCTTAGTCAGCTCTGGCACTATACACAATACTGTCCAAAATAGATGTAGCATCATTACATTGCCAGTGCTTAAATAGAAATTCCACAGGAAAATATTTAAAATTAAATGTTATCTCACATTAAATGGCAATGTAGCAAAGTTAGCATTTCCCTTACCTAAAAATATATTTTGAATAGATACTCACCATTCTACTTCAAAAAGAGCTATTACCTCAAGTGTACAATTCCTGAGCATCCCATAAGCCTTGAACAACACACCCACCCCTACACGTCAACTTCTATTGTGCCAGCCTATGATGTAGTCATCATTAGATTATAGCCAGCCACCAATGGGAGGGTGGTACATTCTTCATGCACAGTAATTCCCATGAGCGCTAACTAGCATTTGAACAGAGGCTCATTCTTGACAAGGCATACTAAATGTTCCAGAAGTGGAAATGGTAGGGGGAGGTAGTGCAGAGAGATGAACATCTATTCAAAATACATTTTCACACAAAGAAAATGTTAAATTCAAAAATGCTTCTTACCAAACTAAAGGTGGGGTATGGGCTGATGCAAAGATAAACTCCTTCCTAAAAACAGCAACAGAATGAGGAAAGCTCATAAGTTGTGCGACATCAAAAAGATGAGGGGGGGGGGGAAACGTTTTGAGGCAGCACTTGGTGGGAGACTGCACCCACCTCAAGCATAGAATACTCTTCATTCAATGTCATTGTGGTATTCATTGTAAGGAGAGGAATTAAAGTCAAAAAGTGCCAACAGAATCAACTGCATAGTGCTAAGGTATCGCTAAGATAGGTAGAACCTAAGACTATTTCAACTGGCCATTATCTCACAGGTGGGCAGCTGAGCACAAGTGTGTAATATGGCTAGGGCTATAACTCAGGCTGTCCATATAGGAAAAATATTAACTACTAATCAGATGCAGGGAGAAGCATTCCAGACCTGTGTCATAAAGCAAATCCAAGACTCATTTAGCTGGACTGAACTACCGGAAATGGCCTGGTTCATAATGTGGTGAGGGGTGTTTTGTACCAAACCTTTAGCCCTACTTTACAAATGAAGGATGCATCCAGTAGGATTGCATCACCCAATGAGAAACACTCCATATCGATCTCTTCAGTGGCCTCGAAATGGAAAAGCAAGTGTTCTCCCATATCCCATTAGAAGAAATATGGAGGAAGGAATCTATGTAGGGAGATAACACTGGAAAGATGCTTAACCCTTGATGGGCTTGATATAATATACACGAGTTCATATACACATTTGCACATGTTAAGTATTTATACTATAACTTTTAATACTCTATGTGTATGTTCACAAAATTTGGTAGACTTTAAGTAAAGATTACAAGTCTTTTGCACACAAAAAATCAGATTTTTTAATGAAGTATTATTATTATAGATTTGTTTGTGAAAATAGTCTGTTTTGCTACCAGTCCAAGTGCAAAGTGATAACTAATAACTATTGTTCATCCTACAAATCTCAAATATTATTTGTGTAATCTCTACAACCTCCTAAATACATTTCAAATGCTTGTTTTCGGTAAAACTTTATACTTTGTATGCTATTTTCTCTACCCTAATTCTATTGAGTTTGTCAATTTGACCGGCCTCATAACCACCACAAACAAATTAGGAAATAAATTTAAATTATGCTTTTTGCATTCTAGAATGACTATAGATTATAACATGAAAACACAAATGTTTAGACAAAATAGCTTAAACCTCATAACATTATACATTTATATATATTTATTATTTTTATTATATTGACCTTCCAGCCATGCCTGGCTAACAATACAGTAGTTACAATGATGTGACGCATGTGCACCATATCCAATAATATAAAACTGACCTTTAGCCTTTACAAAATGACCTGTCTTGGCTGTGTTTTAGTGGACTAGTATTTTGTAAAATACAGTCACATTTCAATTATTATACATTATATATGTATATACATTAATACTATTTACAAATAAGTTCTTAAACTTATTTTTCTTGAAACAAAAAACAGTAAATAAAGAAGTCAAGCAAACAATTATCTCTTCTAGTTACGACCTTTGTACTCGTTTGCTAAGCCTTATGAAATTTCCCACGTGGAGGATGTGAAAAGAACATTTTTTTAGATTTTAATATATACATTTTTTAATAAAAAAATCATAAATTACTATTTTGATACCATAGAATTCCACTACAATTTATCAAGCATAGTAACTAAGCTGTATTTGGGTCTAAACAAATATGAAATTTCAAGCTCACTAAAGACTTCCCTTATCCCCTTGAAATCTTGTGTGAAAAGAATGTTATTAACACAATAACCCATCAAAATGGCTGAGAAAACAACTAGGGGGACATTCTGAGCTTTTGATTGGTTATTCACATGTCACATATAGAAGTGTATATAAGGAAGTGTTTCCAACAATGAAAAGAGGTGGGTGGGGTCCACTGTGTTTGATTCAGTACGAGCAATATCTTAGCAGCTAGAAAAGATAAGAGGTTCTTATTTTATATTCTAGCTTGTTAATATTGGTAATTTGAGTTCCTAAATTGTATGAAAATACAAAATTTTTATTTTGACATCACAAACATCTAATTTGAACCATGCATTCAACATACCATGTGACACACAAAAATCAATGTTTAGCTGTGTTTTTAATACTTACGTTTAAATCAAGGAATTAACTAATGTATAATGCTAAAATTTGACACCAAACTTATTGACATATATTCATAAAATAGTAGTTCAATACAATTTTGAATGTACATCAAAACGTGATGATATGGCCTTTGACACGTGACCCATCTCGATAGGTTTAAACTGTGTCATCAGGCACAATCATCTGTAACTAGGCCCTACACTGAGACAGTGCAATGGGTTACCGAGATTAAAAAGAAAAGGCATAAGCCAGGTGTGAGGGCAAGCATACATCTGAGGCTATTTTTTTAAAATTAAAATAAATAGACACCCTGAAGCAATCTTACAGAGAACCCCATTTCAACAGCAGGCACTGAGCAGAGGTGGATGGTCTTAACACTTTCTGTATTCCTCACACTTGATGAGTATTTTGGATAAGTACACCTTGTTGGGTAATACTGGCTCCTCTGTGGGAAAAACCTGAGGAGCCCAATAAGCCATAGTAAAGGGAGTCCATCAGCGGTCAAAGAGGGAAAGCAGAGACCCCATAGGACCAGAGTCAAGGAGATGGTTCTAGGAACAAATCACTTCCATGACCTGTAATGGCCAGCTCTCAAAAAACGAGGACTGTGGATAGTTACAAGAGGACAAAGAACAGAAGAAGGGCAATCCAACAAGGCCATATATGATGAGAAAACTAGTGGGGCCCCCTTCAAGGGCAATAAAACCAAAGTGAGCAGAAATGACTGTTGAAAAGCTGCATCAGCTCATGATGTCAATGTATAAGAAATATCCCAAAAACCACAAAAAAAAAAAGCTGCAAGACAGAGGGAGGCAAAAGTCAAAAAGTAAGAAAACCTGACAAAGGACAACCAGAAACAAATAAATCAATGTAAATGGGACAAAATGGAAGAATCCCGAGTGCAAGCTGGAAAACAGGTATTTGCAATTTGTCCCAACAAAGCCGATACGATCATAATTGAAAGCCTCCATGTGAAGGTGATGCACGAGACTGAACAAAGAAATTAGGTAAGAAATGAATATAAATGGATAGAGAAAAAAAAAAGGAATAAAGGGGAGATCCCTAAATTGAAAGAAAATAATTAGGTGAAAGAGGCTTGTGTAAAAAAGGAGTTTGAGATTGAGCAAAAAAATTACTAGAGAAAGGGAAAACAAAAAGATACATACTTGTGGAATCCAAGCAATGAAGGACAAAAATGAGACTGCCTTATCCATGTCAGGAAGAGTGAATGACAAGCAAAGGCAGACATGGAAACCACAGTGGTGAAATACAAGATGGGACAGTCTCAGCTACAGTACCAGAAGTAGGAGGTCAGGAATCCTGGATCCGAGATGAAACCAACCATGTGGTGCACAATGGCAGTAATATTACTGACCATCAGTGTCTCCAGTCACCATTACAGTGTTTGATAACTTTTGTGAATGAGTGTTAAAAACCTTGGGAGACGTTAGAAACATAGGAACATAAATATATAATCCACTTAATCCCTGAAACTGATGTTGTGGGGGTCTGTCTTTGTAAAATACATAGAAGATGGATTTTTTTTATGAGTTAGAATACTAGCCAAGTACAGTGATGGTGAATAGATCTAATGATGATGATGAATATTGGATGGAACCCATATGTTACATTAAACAAAAGGAAGAACCAAATAAACATAGTAATTTACAGAAAATCAATTTGAATATACTTCAAATGAAAGTTCTAACTAGTAAGTTTAAACTAGTACAATTCTTTCATATAATCAAAAAAAATTAAGGAAAGAAAAACTACTAGATTTATAATAATGAAAGGTTAAAATAATACGTACAATAATTCCAGCAAATCTTATGAAAAACACATCTCAAGATAAGCACTGATGAGGAAAGAATGAGCTTACATTCAAATGCTAGTGCTCATGGTGAATAGTGTGCATGGAGAATATGTCACCCTCCTAATGGTGAAGGGCTATAGTCTAATGACGATTACATCATAAGCTAGTACAATACACATTGCCACTTGTAGGGATAGAAGCTGTGTTCAAGGTTTGTAGTATACACAGGAATTTATGCAGACTTGAGTGCGAGACAATAGCTGTTTGTGGTGCGGAGAAGAAATTAGCATTTCTAAGGTCATCTATTTGTAAGGTTTACTGAATTAACTGTTAATTATATATGTGTGAAAAATGTTATTTTAAATAACTGAAGTTTAAATTGTATAGAAAACAAATTTTAATATAAAGAACTAAATACTTACTGCCAAAAATATTAACAGTAAAGTACCCAACTGAAGAAACAATGCATTATAATCTTAATAACTAGAAATGAATAAAAAATATACTTAATTAGCTATAGTGATGGCTAGGTTGATTATTAATTTCACTTTAAGTATATAGCTTAATCTGATCGGAAGCTATTATCATAAACACTAGCCACAACCCTCAAAACATTTGTAGTATTTTTCATGCTCTTTGCTTGAATTTTCTTTATTCTATCATTTTCATGCAAGGCATTTAAGCAATATTTTCTAGCAGGTATTATGCATTAGATCGATAAATCTTTGTCTATTTGGAAAACACTACATGGTCAAATAAACAAACTCATGTAGACACAACTTTGTTTAATAAAACTACACATAAAGTTAACAATAAAGTATAGTAAAGATATTTATAACAGTGTACAGAGTATGAAACAGTTATGAGCATTCAGTGTGTGGCATGCTTTTACAAGCTGAAACAAACTCACAAAAGAATAAAATCTGCACTAAAGAAAAAATAGCTAAAAGGTGTTTATAACAGTCTATGAAATGAACCAAAGCTAAATTATTGCAAAGTAAAGTAAATGCAAAGTTGTAATGAAGGCAAAGTTAGCTGAATATGCAGAAATGTCTGAATGCATGTTCACAAAGTGATAAACATGTGGATTTGAATGAACTGCACATGCATATTTTAGACCTAAATAAGTAGAGAAAGCCCATAGCAACTGTATTTGATGTAATATTAATTTTTTATGAAATTACATGTAGTTTAAGTGTTGTTTGTATGAAATACTTTGCAGAAAAAAAAGAAGTTAAAATTGAAGCCAGTTGTCACATGATGACAATGATATTGTGCCATTGTGTGGTAAATTTGCCAGAAAAGTTTCAGACAGACAAACACAAACATACTTATATAGATGTATACATGATTTTATGCAAAAACTTTTATGACCAGTTATTTTCATATCTATAATAAGTTCAGTCTTATACTTCACTGAAATTGTGATTCTCTTTGACATTTAGGCTCAGAAAAGGAGAAAACTTCTGACTATATTAGTTACAAGTTTCAGTATGATTCACGAAAACTTCTGACTATATTAGTTACAAGTTTCAAAAAACAACAACATATCTTTTGATGGGATATGCCATTAGATCTGGTTGATAATCCAAAATTAATGGTCCCTGACCTGGCCATTTAGCCCTCATGTGCAACTTCTGTTCTGGTTGAAAATTCAAGAAAAGAAAAAAGCTAATGAAACATGCCATTACACCAAATTCTAAATTACTGCATGTTAATGAACAAAGCATTAACTAATTCTTCATCATTTAGAGTCCTCTTTAACTTTTCCCAACTTCAGTTTAATAATAAAAGATAAATCTCATGTGTGTTCCAAATACTATGCTTTAGTCAGAACTAAAAACTCCTTTACATATATCTAAAACCAAATATTTATTGAACTTATAACTTCAAATTGCCAATAGTACAAGTCAACTTGTACATCATTAGTTGCTGAACATACATCACCAAGCCAACAAAGCAAAGATTTACACTTATACACATTAACAATGTTGTATATATCTCGTTTTTCCTAACTATTGCATTCCATTATTTTCAAAAGTTTTCTCATTTTAAAAAAACTGGACACCTTGTTGGTCAATAAAACCTTTATATTTCAACTGCATGATAATGCATACCAATTTTCAATAATATATAAAAAAATAACTTAAGAGCTATAATAAATGGTACATTTTGACCTTCAAAGGTTCAGGACACATTACCTAACAAAGATTTAAATTTTCAACACTACAAAATTACATCATTTAGCAGTGACCATCTCAAGAGGCACAAGCTTGTATTTGATTGAAAGTCATATTATCTTAAGGTATTCCATATAAATAGAATAAAACATGTACTTTACAAATACATTATATATATGATAGTAATCATGTTTTTATAAAATACACATATCTATGTACATGTAATTGATACTGCTTGCAATTAGAGCAGGGTATTTAATCAATTATGTAATCATAGGTAATCGATCAAAGCATGTAATTGATTAAATATGAGTGGCAATTACATTGATTAGTATTATATAAACTAATCACTTGATCAAATTCTTGTTTCCGATTATTACCATTTTTTATTATTCCAAAAATCAATTAACCAAAATTACAGTTAGATAGACTGTCCAAAAATAATCAATGAAATGAAATTAGTATTTCCAAGTATATCTGCTTTTGATTATTTCAACAATCAATTATTTGAAATTATGATTACGAAATTATGGTTTTCAATTATTCCAAGTAAGTAAATGAAATAATTTTTCGTCATATTCTTTGTAATGGCAAAGGTACTAAGGCTATCCACCAATGTCACTAATTTTGAATTGCTCCCTAAATTGAATGCAACTAGCTGACAGCACCCACCAACTTTTTTTTCTTCTTGTTTATACATAACTGGTTTGATGAACACTGTACTAATTGATCAATGGGGCCATTTATCAATCAATTAGCAAAAACCTATCAGCTCTACTTTCAATACTAATACATATATATATATATAGTAAGCTTGCATTGGAGAAGCACCTTATTTCGGCCACTTAAAAGAATTGCAGCCGACTTAAGTAAGACAAAGCTTTACATAATAGTCACCATTCCAAGCAAGTTATCAATCATAGTCAAAGTCAATTAATGTTTTAATATAACATTTTTTATTTATGAAAATATTAAAGTTAATAATGAATAAATACAACCCAGAACACAGTGACAATTTGATTAGAAAACCAATATGAACCCTCAATTGTAACAAATGGTTCACTACAGCACAGCATGTAATAATATTATTTAAAAGGCATCCACCAATTAAGTTTTATATAATATTAGTACATACCTTAAACTTAGTAGTTATCACCCTAACATCATTATCTAGTGTTTTTTTTATTTACTACCTAGTTGTTATGACTAAGAAAAACCAGTTTGTTCACATCTTCTTACTTACTCTTAATTTCACACTTATACTGTAATTTTTCATAATGCATTTACAATTTTACATGTAGTTGTACACTAGGTATTCATAATTCAGGACATATTTTATTGAAGCAATACAGCTGCAATACTCTTAATGTATTTAAATATATCCTTACTATTGATTTTTACATTTTCTGTTAACCCTTAACTCTCACACTCGTCACAGCTTAGCATTGGTAAAAACTAAAACGTAAAAAAAAATACTTTAAATACTAAAACTAAAAGTAATATAGTAAAAATGTTGGTTTACGAGTAGATATAGCTTTGGGATAACATTATAAAAGTAATTATTCATATAATAATCATTAAAGTGATATTATCTTACATTATGTTGCATTATATGGTTTCTACACAAGCTCTGGCCCATAAACGAAATATTACCCAAATTAAAACTACCATTTATTCCATAAACTAGACGTCTAAGAACCGCCATATTGTTCGAACTACTGGAGTTAAAACTCAATATTTGGTTGAAATACTAGCGCCGTGGATATAAATTCTAGAAAATCAACTAATTATCATGAAATATGTTCTATAACTACTATAATTTGTTCAAAACTCTTTATAAATTTCGGGCATTTTCTCTGATTTACTACCTATTTTGTTAATTTTTATCATCATATATGTAAAAAAGATATATTTAAAACTGATGAAAATTACAATGTTATATTCACATATATGCAAAAATCCTAATTTTAATTCGCAAAGCACTAAAGTTACAATAAAAATGTGTCCATTCATAAAGAAAAAATAAAACAATATTCTCTATGTGATTACAGAGTAGTATAAACAAAATATAGTTAAATTGTAAATGGTAGTCATACATTTTCATTACCGATTGCAACTGTGATCTTGTATGCGCAAAGAGTCAACTTTTGCTTTAAGCTAAAATTTACAAGGTTTCTATCGAAACATTTTTATTCCTAAATAAAAACTAAAACAACATGTTCTCCGTGGGAATACAAATCAAAAATAGAAACATCAAAATTAATTTATTTAGGTTCCGAATACAAGTGGATGTCAGTTCACTCAACGGCTTTTACATGATGAACCTTTTCTTCATATGAGCATCCACCTCAAAACGTGCTGATGCTTATTGTTTCTCTTTTCAGTTCAAGAATGGATAGTTGTTTCGGTGACACTGATAATATGTTTCGTTTCTCTGTTTTTTATTTCTCTTCATTCATGATACTGAACAATGCAAATCCATGGAAAATTATATTTGTTCATAAAAAATTAAAAAAAAGAGACTGATTAACCCATCATATTATTTTTTGAATCACTACAAAATCCAATCAAGTTTTTCAAGTGATAATACTGTTACGTATCTGCTTGTTTTTTAATTTCCGGTATATATTCTTTCCGAGGAACTTCAGCGATACAAATCCCTTCTTGATTAACCCAGTTTATTGTTTCTCGATACAAACTTTTAGTACACAGTAATTTCACAATCAGCACGTTTCTCGTCACATTAAACCTAACTACTTTCATAATACACGCTATAAATCACAGCGATTCACAATCTCGATAACTTCGCTTTCTAAGAGTGCAAAACACTAGCTCGAAACAGAATCGTAAATTACCCGGAACTCTCTTCATTCATCTCCGCAGGCTTTCTCTGAAAGGCTTATATACTAAAGAAGAGGGCGTCTCGAACACACTACGACTCCCCCGAAAATTCATGATCATTCGAGAAATTCATCAGGTGTCACCAGCGTCGCGTGACTTCCGCTGTCGTAACAATATTGTATTATTAATTAAATTCTTAGCAGACCCATCTGGATAACCACTTAAATCTACAACATCAGTTTCAAAATCATTATCTTGTGGTACATTAAGCTAAAACTGAATTAATCTTCGAACAATCGGAAAGGTCCGATTAACCCTATGTGCAAGGGTGGGAGTGAAAATATGTATTTCACAAGGTTTTACAAAGTTTGATGACGAGAAACCAACTTTTTAGAAAATTAAAGTTTGGAGACAGCTTCAATGTGTGATGAAGAAAACTGTATCATAAATTCACAACGTTTCGAGACGTTTATATCATCATCAGGTACACCAAACAACAACACAACATTACACTGCATTACCATTTATCCCTGAAATCAGTTCAAAAATAATCCACAATTGGAGAAAACTTTACATTAAACATAAAATTCCTGTTGACTTCAAATTCACCAAATATCCCTCCCCCCCCTAAACTAAAATCATTACTAAATAAAAATTACATAGAATCACACAATACCAAGTCATTTATAAAATAATGTGCAATAACTGTCCAGAATTCTACATCGGAGAAACCGGAAGAAAATTGGAAACCAGATTCACCAAACGTTGTATACACCATTCCATGTTTACCATCATTGTAACTAAAAACTAGAGTGTATCTATACAAAACACTGTAATTTTAAACAAAGAACCAAATATTAACAAACGCAGAATAAAGGAAACTATCTTGACTGAACAAAACAGTCCTACTCTAAACCAACACCTCGGGGCACCAACATACCTTAATTAAGCTGTTAAACAATCTTCGGTAATGTGGCCTCTTTGTTCCATACTATATATTTATTTCTGTATCTATGTAAACTATTTGTACCTAATGATGATGTTACGTCTCCGTTTGTTAATTGATTTTCCGTAACTTCGTTCCGACGAAACTTAAGCGACACAAGTCTTTACTTAATAAAACTGGTTTATTCTTTCCGAATATTACTTTACGATACACTTATTTCAATATTCGCGCTAAAACAAACACTATAACGAACGAACGTTAACTTCAACAATACCCTGTGACTGCAGTTCAATTACCTTCCCCTCTTTTATATCCCAGCCTACCCTATCTAGTAAATACTAGAGCATTCATGAAGGAACAAGATAGTTCTAGAAACTAGAGGGCGCCACACCAGTC